CTCGACGGTTTTCTCTCATCTGTCCACTTGATCAACGCTCCTTACCACTCCATACACCGTAATAGTGTTGAAAGGAGCAGGTATGATGCTATTGGTCAAAGAATGTTGACCACCTGTTCGGGTAAAAGAAGAGCCTGATACTAGGCGGCTAATGTGTGGAAGAAGGAAAGCGCGGCGGAGCCGCGCAGTATCCTAGGAGGCGCGCCGGAGTCAGCCGGCGAAGCCGGCTGGTTCCTTTATAACACATCAAGTGCCTGGCAATTGTCAAACATTGGATGTGATCACCTCACTTAAAAGTCGAGACCTGTTTGCGTCTTTTCCACATCGGAGGAACTTATTCGCGCAGTTTTGCCCATTGCAAGTAACTTTTCAAGCGGCTCATGATTGGAGCACAGTGGCGGAGGAGCAAGCCATCGTCTCTTGCTCCGCCGTGCCGCCGCCGTGACCGTGCCGCAACGGCATGGGTGAGTTTTTCCACGGAGCTTCCCAAGCCGAACTGCGCCTGTATTAGAAGGAAAGTGGTACGATGAATCCTCCAGTCGTGTAGGGTTAATACGTCCAGCAGGACGAGATTCGACGCCGCTGAGCAGGCGCTGCGTGGCGCCTTTGCCAAAGAAAGTACTTTTATAGCGCCCTACCAAACTACAACAATGCCGGACGCCCACGAAATGTCCGACCGTGATGCTTGTATCGCTTTATTTGCAGCCGTATCTACCGTAGCGGTTACTGGCGTGACGCCAGCGGAAAACTCGTCCAAAATCGCTTTTTCCGTAGACAAAGGCTTTTTTGCAGGTTTCTGACCGTCTCATTTCACTTTTTCGCCATTTCCCCCCACTATATAGCACTCCTTTCAACATTTTAGACCGAGTACCAAATATCGTGTCTTGCCCTTAAAACAAGTACAAGGGAAAAGATTCAGTTCCAGCCAGGGCACGCCATCGTTGTGATAATCACAACAGGGGTGTTTCACACATTTATCCTTGACTACCGTCGCATCCTTTTTGACGATTATTTTCGCGGACCTTCAACTTTTTTCGGTGTTTGCTTGTCCGCTGCTATCGAATCCCTTTCCAGAGAGGGGGAGGTCATATTTAGCAGAAATTTATCAGAACGCGATGGCGTGCTCTGATTCCAGCCCAAAAGTAAAAAGCTTACAGTGGTTACCGATGCCTCTATCTTCTGCTCTTCTTTCTGGATCAAACCTTTTCTTACTTCGATGCAACCCGCTTTTCCAATAGATTCACCGAGAAAGAAACCGTCTGTGCGAAATTCCCAAGGAGCCAAGGAGACTGGCCGTTTAAGTTGAATTTTTACCTGAAATATGTTTGATAAACCATCAGCTGAAGCTCTACACTCGAGCTAGCTCGTGTTCAACTTTGGAAACTACTGAAAGCATTTCATAGTGGCGCTTTCGGGGAGCGGTACCTCTCCCGATTGAACGTATTCCAAACAAGGTTTTAGTTGTTGACAAATACTGTTGTATAGGACCCTTCGTTCGGATTTCGTTCAGAAGCAGGTAACTTCAAAGACGTATCAGCCCTCCTCAACAGCTTAAACAGGGCTAGCAAGTAGTCAAATTAGTGAATTTTACACCAGGAGCAGAGGTACACATGGATGGATCGTATAGTCGGAAGAGCGCTGTGCGGCTTAGAGAGGCATCTTGCACTTTCGTTAACTTCATTTCAAAAAACAGGCCTCATTCTGGTAAGACCTAGAGGTGGGCCTGCAGCTGAACTCGTCTGGACAGATCCATAAACGAGACCGTCCGAGAGGTCACATGGACAGCTCCAGTCCAGCTGAAGACATGAGAGCAGCGACTGCGGTGGTATGGGTATGTACTGGGAAGGCTTGAAGAACATCCTACAGGGAAGGCACTGTACTTTGGAGCACAAGGCAAGCGACCACGAGGAGTCCCTCAGAAAACGTGAAGGAACGTGGTCAATAAGGACCTCACTGAAGTGGAAGATGGCGACGGTCAACAAGAACAGAGGACCCTTCGACGGTCGGTGTTCTTCTTGATCATCACCATCTTCTGCAGCTAGCGAGAAGAAGAAGAAGAAGAAGGGGTTGCGTTTTGTTCGCGGTAGTGGCGTGGCCTCAGGGTTACTTCGCCAAAGCTTTGCTGTTTAGAGCGACTTTTAAGAACTCCATTCCCGCA